CAATCTGCATTCAGAGTCCATTAATTCTTTATGTGGATATAGACAGCATTTTCCTTGGTGAGTCCTTTGTATTTTTCTTGATCATTGTGTTGCTGATTAGAGCTGAGTCATTCATAGCTGATCATCACACGATATTGCTGATACTGTGTACAATGTTTCTTGGTTCTGCTCATTTCATTTTCCATCAGTTCATACAAGTCTTCTCAGGTTTTTCTGAAATCTACCTGTTCATCATTTCTTATAGTACAATAGCATTCCATTACATTCATATACCACAGCTTGTTCAGCCATTCCCCAATCGATGGGCACCCCCTCAATTTCCAATATTTTGCCACCGTGAATAGGGCTGCTATAATTATTTTTGCACATATAGGTCCTTTTCCCTTTTTTTATGATCTCTTTGAGATATCTGTAAAACATTTTGCAAACTGTAAAGCCTTACATAAATGTTAACTATTATTACTACCATCCACTCCATATTTCTTTACCTCATCCATAAGGATATTGGAGCCACTTTGTCAAATACTTAACTAAAATCCAGGCATATTAGACCTATAGAATTCCTCAATATTCATTCTAATAATCCTGTCTTAAAAAGGAAATGAGCTTGGCTTGTTCTTCATGAATCAAAGTGGGCTTGAAGCGATTCCCACTTCCCTTTTCAAATGCTGACAAATCTTTCTTTGAATAATGTGATCTAGGTCTTTACCATGAATCAAAGTCAAGCTCAACATCGTACTGTTTAAAGAATCTACCTGGGCAGGCGGAGCCAAGATGGCGGAGGAAAAGCAGTGACTGTCTCAAGCTCTCCCCCAAACCCCTCCAAATACCTAAAAAAAATGGCTCTAAACAAATTCTAAAGCAGCAGAACCCACAAAAAGACAGAGTGAAACAAATTTCCAGCCAAAGACAGCCTGGATGGTTGATCTGAAAGGTATATCGCACAGGGCGGGGAGAGTAGTGCAGTTCAGCGTGCGCAGGCCGCAGCAATCCTGGAGCAAGCCTCAGAGGACCAAATCATGGGCAGCTGTGGTGGTTTCCAGACTTCTCAACCCAGAAACGCCAAAGACAATGTGGAAGGTCAATGGGAAAAGTCTGTGACTGCGGTGAGAGAGGAGCTAGGTCACAGCCGCAAGTCTCAAGTGTGGCCCGGGGCCCCGACTGTTTCCTGAGCTTCCGGCCCACAGAATGAGGGGGAATCAAGTGGCTGATCAGAGAGGGATTGCAAGGATCTCTTTGCCAGTGCTGAGGCAGGAATCTCTTGCTTTACCTGTGCTTGGATCTGGGTCACAGTTCTGAGGGGCGGCCCTGGGGCTAGGAGGAATGCTGGTGTGGTGGAGCTTGTTGTGGCTGTGGAAAGCAAACACCTCGCCCCTTATCATACCACCTTGGAAGAACTGAAAATTTACAAGTTCCTAGAAGTACCTCTGA